ACTAAAGGGGGAGGAATCTTTGCTGGTTACTGGAATGTGAGGGGTGGGGGGTGAGGGGAGGGAGGGGAAGGTGGAGCACAGGGTAGGGATTGGACAAAGGATAGTTTGCGTGCTAGGAAGGAGGGCAATACACAAGAAGGGGGAGGGGAATGGAAGAACAAGGCGGATGGGAAAACAATTAGGCAGGTTTGCATGGACTAAGTGGGACAGAGGTAAATAATGGTGTATGCACAAACTTGGTACAACAGGGCCCTGGATTACAGGGATTGAGACATGGTTGGAATAGACAAAAGAGGGGAAATATGTTAAGATGCTTGACTGTCTTTTGAATCTTGGTTTCCCTTGCATACCACTACAAAATAGGCACTGGAGGGGGAGAGAAAGAAATAGTCAGAAATATCACCATAGAAAGCGTCTAAGTCCGTCTTTTGCTTATAACTGATTGGCATACCTAAAATGGGGCTACAACGTACCTAGTGAAGGAGGCTTCTTGCGGAGCCTCTGCATTATATAAGACCATAGGTGGAATCCTGAACCCCATTCAGAATCTTCTGGGATGGGAAATTTCCAGTTGAAACAATAAGCAGACCAGCCTGGAGCGGCTAAAAGAACAGATGATACTTCTTGAAAGAAAGACAGACAGGAACAATACAAAACAATAACAGCAGTCCGACAGAGTACAAGAACAAGCAAGTTGCTTGTCCCGGAGACAGCAAGGTAAGTGGTCGGGTCCCCTCATGGCAAACCCCCTTCCAAGACTAAATATCAATGGGAATACATGAGCAGACATGCTCTATGATTGGTGACCATGTTCGTTACCGATAAGGGGAAGTGAGGGAAAAACAGCAATGAAGCTGCAAGCTAAGCTTCAATAGACTCCTGTGAATTGGGTGGAGACCTGGTTGGCCAGCAGTGTGGCAAGACCTGGGGACTCTTGGGCCCAGAGTCAGTGACATAGCCACAGAGGACTAGAATGGAGAGTGAAGTGTCCAGCTGATTATAAGAGAAGGCATATGCATAAGAACACCCACACTTGGCAGATAATACCCATTTGACCTGGCTTCAATGACTGGATGATCAGAGCTCAACTAGAAGAAGAAAGAAGAGGAAAAAGAAAAAAAAAAAAAAGAGTAATCTGATACAATTTGATGACCTTGACCTACATTTATGGATGCAGTAGCTCAAAAGAGGGAACAAATTTTTACAGCAAGGATCATTCCCACCTCCTCCATACACAGAGTAGACAGGGATGGGCAACTTGGACATTGGCTACCCAAAATGGGGGCTACGAAGGCAAAAAGTGACTGGCTTACAAGCTTTCAAAAGGGAGCCTAGATCCAGGGGGCGTGGAGGAAAGTAGAATCTCCACTGAGTAGTATACAATCTGTCTGGGCAGGGCTGATGAAAGGAGATAGGGATAGGTCTCTTGTGGTACAATGGTGAATAATAGTTATCAGGACTGACTGTGAGGGTTGGAAATGTACAGGTAGATGTTTTGTAGCAAAAGGAGGGGAGTGATTGACTTCGCAGTTCAGGAGCAGAGGTCCCCTGGGACCATCAAGGGAGAAGAGCAGAGTAGGGGACCCTCCCCAGAGAAGCAGTGACACCAGAGATGGAGGCAGACGATGATGTGGAGAGATGGAATGGCTGGGGACTCTAGACCCACAGAGGGAGAAGGGCTGTGTGCTGATGACCGGGGGGTGAGGGGACAGGCTTGCTGGGTATATATACCCTTTGGTTGGTTGATGATGCATGGAGGGGATTGTAACCATGAAAATGAAACAATATACAATAGGATAAATGTAAAGCTAATGTTTTCCCATGTAAACTATCACATAATTCACAATACAACATTAAAAAAAAAGACATTGGCAAAAAGCAAGGTTTCAGGAATGGACAGAATAGCAATTGAAATGTTTCAACAAACTGACACAGTGCTGGAAGCAGTCCCTAGTCTATGCCAAGAAACGTGAAAGACAGCTACCTGGTCAAGGTATGTCCACACCACAGAAAGGTGACCCAACAGAATGTGGAAATTTCAAACAATATTATTAACTTCACATGTAAGTAAAATTTTACTGACGATAATTCAACAAAAACAGTTGAAATAACACACTGACAGGGAGCTGCCAGTGTGGATTCAGGAAAGGAATATTACTGCTGACATCAGATGAATCTTGGCTGAAAATAGAGAATATCAGAAAGATGTTTGCTTGTGCTTTATTGACTATGTAAAGTCTGTGGGGATCATGACAAACGGTGAATAACATTGTAAAGGATGGGTATTCCAGAATGCTTAATTGTGCTCATGAGAAACCTGTATATAGATCAGGAAGCTGTTGTTTGACCAAGGGATACTGAATGGTTTAAATTCAGGAAGGTGTATGTTAGGGTTGTGTCCATTCACTATATTTATTCAGTTTGTATGCTGACCAAATAATCTGAGAAACTGGACTATATGAAAAACAGGATTGGAGGAGGGCTTAATAACTGCTTTTCATAGGCAAATGAACAACTTTACTTGCTGAAAGTAAAGTTGAACTTGAATCACAAAGAATATGAATTCAGTATGTATTAAAACTCATTGCAAAGAAAACAAAACTCCTCACAACTGGACCAAAGAACAGTGTCACTGTAAAGAGAACAAAGATTGGTATCAAGTATTCCATTTTGCTTGGTGGCACAGTTAATACTCATGGAAACAGTAGTCAAGAAATCAAATGATAAATGCTATACAAGGGGATCAATGTGAAGCTGATGTCCTCCCATGTAAACTATCACATAATTCACAATAAAGCTTTAAAAAAAAAGAAATCAAATGATATATCGCATTGAGCTATACCACTACCAACTACTCTGAAAGGGATCACCTTAGAAGGTCCCAGATAGAGTGGGAGACAATGTGGACAAAACCTCAAAATTATTAAAAAGACTGGACTTAGTAGTCAGAAACTGATTGGAGGAACCTGAGACTGTGGTGTGGGCCTTCATCACCCTTCAGGTCTAGGTAAGAATTCACCCTTATGGCTCAATTTTCAGGCAATCCATAGATAGATATATAGTGGGGACAACAAGACTATGCTCAGCATAGAATTGTGAACCATTGAAGATCCAAAGTTGAGAAGGCTGCAAAGCAGGGATGAAGTGGGATAACAATATTACATAGAGGGGTTTGCAATTGCTGAGATGAAACAAAATATGATTTGTTGAATGTGAAACTAATGATCTGCTCTGCAAATTTCCTCCCAATTCACAAAAATTTTCAAAACCAAAAAAACCACCCAAAACAAAACAAAAAAACTTTTTCTTAAAGTGCCAAAGAGCAGGGATGTCACTTTGAGGACCATGGTGCGCCTGACCCAAGCCATAGTATTTTCAATTACTTTTGATGTATGTCAAAGCAGGATAGTAAGTAAAGACCATAGAGTAATTAATGCATTACAATTGTGGTGTTGGTGAAGAATGTTGAAAGGACCAAGAACAGGCAGAACAAACAAATCTGTCTTGAAAGAAGCAGCCAGAATGCACCTTAGAAGTGAGGGTGGCAAGACTTCATCCCATAAACTTTAGACATATTTTCAGGAGGTCCTAGTCCTTGGGAAAGGACATCATGGTTAGTAAAATAGAGGGCCAATGAAAAAGATGAAGAGCCGCACTGAGATGGGTTGACGTTAGCTGCAACAATGGGCTGAAACGTAACAATTGTGAAGATGGCAGAGGAGCAGGCAGTGTATCATTCTGCTGTTCATAGGGTCCCTGTAAATCAGAGCTATGGTTCCAAGTCTACTTAAAGACACCTAACGATTTGGAAGTCTCCTGTCTTGTCACTTTTAAAATGCCACATTCCTCTGAATTAAAGTGTCACAGAACTGAATAAGATTCTCTGATCTAATACAATTTGTTGTTAAGTGCTGTTGAGTCGGTTCTGACTTATAGTGACCTTGTATACGGTTTGTGAGGAGTGGCTGGTGGCTTTGAACCACTGACCTTGGAGTTGGCAGTCCACTGCTTATCCTACAGTGCCACATCAGGATTCCTTGGTATGTACTACTAACCTTTTGGGTTTCTTCAGTGGAACACGTGTATTCTATATACATAAAGTTCCTGTGTGTGTGACAGTAGATGCTGCTGTCTGGCCTTGCACATCAGGTTAAGGTGATGAGTGTTTCTTTTAGGAGTGGGTCTCAGTGGGCCCCACTGTGGTCATATTTTTGTTACAATGATAAATTGGTTGCTGTCAAGTTGCTTCTGAGTTTGTTTGGTGATCCCATGCTAGTCACAGTAGAACTGTTCTCTGTAAGGTTCCCAGTGGCTCATTTTCTGGAAGCAGAGCTGAAGATCTTTCTTCCCAGCTCTGGTAGCGTAATGGTTACGAATCGGGCTGCGAACCTTAAGGTCAGCGGTTCGAAACTACCAGCCGCTCTGCGGGAGAAAGATGAGGCTTTCTACTCCCGTAAGGATTTACACCCTCGGAAACCCTGTACAGGGTCGCTATGGGTCGGAACCGACTCGACGGCACTTAACAACAACAACAACAACAACAACCACTAGGTGTTCTCCAACCTCTGATCTTCCAGTTAGTAACTGAGCACATCAATGGACTCAGGGGCTCCTGCTGAAATGATAACCCAAAAACAACACAAAACCTGCTCCTATTAAGTGGATTCCAAGTCATGGTGACACCCTTTGTGTTACATAGTAGAACGTCATCAGGCTCTCTTGACTGTAGTAATTATGGAAGCTGAGTGTAAGCCCTTTTTGTCTCCGACACCATGAGTTCAAATCACCAACCCTGTGATTAGTAGTCAAGTGAAAATCCTTTGTGCCAATGGCTGCCAGGTGTCTCTTTGAAAAGGTTTTGACTTGGGCCACAGTCCACCATGCAGTGCAGGACTCGATATCAGGTACAATGTGGATGTGGTTTTGTAAGGTGAGAGTGTAAGGGACCTTTGCACCGTATGTCTGTCTCTGCTAATGGCTGACCTCTTGTTTATTGGCAGGCCTGAATTACATTCTGACGGCTGATGTGTCCAAAAAGGAAAAGGGCCAGTCGCCCAGGGTCTACTTTGTGTTGCTGGGAGAGACCACAACTCAGGTCACGGAGAAGCTGCAGCTGGTCCACATGGAGGAGACATGCCATCACTACCTGGCCCATGTGAAGGTCAGTCCTTTCTTCTTGATCCACAGATTTGGATCTCTACAGAAGCTTATTGAAACAGGTGGAAACTTCTTTACTGGGCATTACTTACCCACTGCTGTCCAAAATTTTCTTTGCTGAGAAGTAGAGTAGTCATTTCTGTGATTTTACTGAGCTAGTCCCAACCTCTGAAGTGGACCAGGAGGTCAGTAATGGCCTCTGGTCTTTTGTCCTTTTGGAAAGTTTTTCATCTCCTGTTTATGAGCATTGGGAGTCATCTCTAAAGGAGAATCCAAAAAGCATTTGCTTATGGTGCTGAGGTGGTGCTTTTCTCAGTGGTCCACTACATACTAGCTCATGGTCTTGGTTAATGCATTAAAAATTCACTGGACTAGGTTTTTTTCCCTTGATAACTTTCTGCTTATTTTAGGAGTTCATGTTTTGGGGATAAGGTTTTGAATATTTTTCTCCTTTTGAGATTGCTCGTTAAATACATTTTGCTTCGAATCTGGGAGTTAAGACTTTGAGTAGCCACAGATGACCTCTCTGCACAGGCAGGCTCCAGTTTGGTGAGAGTCCTGCAGTACTTGATGTGACCAGATTGGCAGAGTCAGTGAGTACAGAAAGAACCTGTGTGATCTATGCCAGGTGGACGGTGGAATGAATGTGGGTTTTGACAATATTCTGTGTCAGTTTCTGTATCTCCCACCTTGAAAGGTGGGCACAGAATTACATATTCGGCAATGGACAGCCTTGTAGGAGCTTGTGTGTTATCTGAAATATATAGTAGTAGGCACTCAGTAATGTTATTATTTAGTTGGGCCACATGCAGAGGCCAGTATGCTAACCTTTTTGACTTATAAAATGGCAGTTTCATACTTCAACCTGATGCTATTAGCCAGTAGATTTCTGGCTGACAGTAAAAATAGTCCACAGATTGCTAATGAAGTATCATTCTATTATGGTATCATTAGTGCCAAACTAGGAGACTAACAGCTGCTTCTAAATGCTTCTGGGCTGTATATAGAGAGATGCCCACTTATCCATGGGCACTTAGACTGGCCCAGAGCCCATGAGTCCATGCCCCTGAGATGAGGTTCAGTGAGGCTGGCTTGGCTCTTCTGCCAGGACACGTGCGGAGGCTTGCCCAGACCAGCTGCCCGAAGACCCCAGGTGAAGGCCATTTATAAAGCTGTTACTGCTCCTATGAAAGCCAACCAGCCGGTCACCACTCTGTTTTAGATTGCATTGGCTCATGGGTGCCATGTACGGTTGATGGGTGAGGCTGCTTGCTTAGGACTGGCTCCTCTCCAAACATCGCAGGCTTTTTAGTGACCTTGCTTGCTCTTTACACTTTTCCTGGAGACAGAGCTTCTTCCTTTGGGTTTTCTCATGTTAGGTCTGTGCCACAAATGCTTTCCATCAGGTTTCCTTGTGACTTTTTGCTTTGGCTGAGAAGTGACAGGGAGCTTGCTGAGAGGACCACACAGGGAACTGCCAGAGGCAGGCAAAAAAAAGCGTGCTGTCGAGCCAGTTCTGACTCATGGCGACTCTATATACAGTTTCCAAGAGCAGCTGGTTTGAGCTGCTGACCTTGAGATTAGCAGTCCAGTGTTTATCCTCTGGTGGTGATATGCCGTGGAGTCAGTTTCGACTCATAGCGACCTTGTACAGGATATCCAAGGTTGTATATCTTTATGGGAGTAGAATGCCTCATCTTTCTCCCGCGGAACAGCTGGTAGTTTCGAACTGCCGACCTTGTGGTTAACAGCCCGATTCATAATCACTACACTACCAGAGCTTTTTATACTTATCCTCTTGTTGTTGTTGTTAAGTGCCTTTGAGTCGGTTCCGACCCATAGCGACCCTGTATAGGGTTCCCAAGGGTGTAAATCCTTACGGGAGTAGAAAGCCTCATCTTTCTCCCGCGGAACAGCTGGTAGTCTCGAACCGCTGACCTTAGTGTTTGCAGCACGATTTGTGACCACTACACTACCAGAGCTCCTTATCCTCTAGCGCTACCTAAATGATCAGTTTTACTACATCCTGATAATCTCATGCTCGTGAGATTTAGCAAACAAAAATTGAGGACTCTTAAATGTAAAGGTAGACATTGTGTAGCAAAAGGAGGGGAGTGGTTGACTTTGCAGTCCAGGAGTGGAGGTACCTGGGACCCTCACGGGAGAAGAGCAGAGAGCAGGACCCTATCCAGAGAAACAGTGATACCAGAGATGGAGGCACAGATGATGACGTGGAGAGATGGAGCAGCTGGGGACTCTAGACCCAGAGAGGGAGAGGGGCTGTGTGCTGATGACCGGGGTGTGGGGTGGCACGCTTGCAGGGTATACCCTTTGGTTGGTTGATGATGCATGGAGGGGATTGTAACCATGGCAATGAAACAATATACGATAGAATGAATGTAAAACTAACGTTCATTCTCCCATGTAAACTATCACATAATTCACAATAAAACATTGAAAAAAATACATACAGGACTCTTAGTTAAATTTGAATTTCAGATAAACAACTGGAACTTTTGTTAGTGCAGTAAAACCTCTGAGAGCCAGAACTCAATAGGACTGCTCCCCGCCTCTCCCTCCCCCCACATCTTACAAGTTTCCCCGCTATTGACAGGGTTTAATCTTAACCCCAGGCTCCTGGTATGGACTGCAAGGTCAGTTTGAACTGCAAAGTCAGTTTGACCCACAAGGTTGGTGGCAATTCAAACTCACCTCCTGTTCCTTGGAAACCCTATACAGAGTTGCTATGAGTTGGAACCAACTTGAAAGTTCTTAACAATTATAACAGTAACAACAGTCTTTACAGGAGCAGATTGCCTGGTTTTTTAATTCTGTGTAGTCGCTTGAACTGCCAACTTTTTGATTCTCAGCAGAGCACTTAACCATGGTGCTGCGAGGGCGCCTTTATCGTCCATGTTGTTGTTGTTAAGTGTCATCCAGTGGGTACTAGTAGCTGCGGGCCTCCATTCTGGGTTGTGTCCCGGATGGTAGAGCGCTTTCCGCCCTGAGGCACAGCTGCCTGAGGAGGAGGGAGCATGCCTGGCGTGGGGGTTTCCATCGGTGGGAGGCTGTGGTTGTAGAGGCTGTGGTTCCTGAGGAGGCTGAGGCAGCAGCAGGCGTGGGGGGTAGAGATGCTGGCAGCTGGTCTGGGACCAAGGTTTAGGGACTAGGGACTTCTCCTAGGGCTGTAAAAGCCCAGTATAACCTCTACTGCTGAGGAGTTTTCTTTTTGGGGCTGACTCACTCAACTTTCTAGACAAGTCAAGGAAGATAAATACAAGCATTCAGGCTTATCACACACCATATGGCCAGCAGACGGTGAGGCAGGCATGGAGAGGCCGGGTTTGCTTTGTTTAGGCTATCTTTAGGTCTTTTTTTCTTTAAGCCTAATCCATTCTTTTTTTTTTTTTTTCCTCCTTTTTTTAAAAATTTTCCTTTTCCCTAGAAGTTTTCATTCCATATATGGTGATATGTATCTATATTGTAAAACACAGCTTGGGTAACACCTGCCTCCTAGGCTCAGTACGCTTTGCAGTGCTTTGTTCCATTCTGGGCCGCCAACAATGGGGCCTCTGGGAGATACAGTTTTGTGATAAGCCACATCCTCCTGGGGGTGCTGGGTACATTCTCAGGCCTCACTGTGGTTGTGGAGCGGAGGCAATTCCAGCTGCTTCCTTAACCTCTTGGCTTTACAGCCTCCCATCCCATTATCTCCCTCCTCCCCAAGCCAGCACTGTTGCTGATGGGCCCCCTTCCACTAAGCACATGGCCTGGAGACCTCTAGTGGATGGTCACAGGAGAAACACAAGGTTCTTGGTAAATTAGCCTCAGTTTACCTTTCTAGCCTCACCTTCTATTACAAGTGTCTGGGCTCTTGTCAGGGCAAGCTGTCCCCTTTTCCCCTTCTCATGTCTCCCTGTTTTATTTATCAAACATCTCCAACATATCAGTCATTAGAGGCTCAGTGTTTGTCTTACCCATGTCAGCCATATAATATACCTCCTGCATAGATTTTGTGAATTTTTTTTACTTCATCACACATCTGTGGGATATTCTATTTTTCATTAAATTGACTGACTTTTTGCCTTGAATAAAATAATTGAAAACAGAAATTTTAAGCCCTCGTTGTAAGGAGAAAACCAATCATCACATGCCCCAAAGAGAAAGTATGTCTTCAGAAATAAATATATTGAAGACACTACAATGTCATCACATTCTCACTGCATTTCATTGTGTGCCAAAGCCTCAACAGACTCGGCCCGCTCTCCCTGTGTGTTCAAAAGGGGCATTATTGAGCACTAGGGAAGTGTTAAGGACATATTGGCACCACACTGGAACTTTCTCCCTAATGCAATCAGAACTGAAACAGAATTAACTGGGGAATAGCTTCCCAAATAAGTCAGTCCTATTACAGAGTCAGGAGTCCTGGTGGGGCGCAGTGGGTTAATGCACCAGACTGCAAAGCCGTTAGAACTGCAAGGTCGGTGGTTCAAGCTCACCAGCTTCTCCTCAGAAGCCCTATACAGGGTCGCTGTGGGTCAGAATCAGTTTAACGGCACTTAACAACAACATTACAGAGCCATGCCTGTGTGCCATTGGAAACCATCTCATGATCATCCTCTGCTTTGACTGGAGATACCTCACTCCATCGCTAGGATCCCTGGTGGTGCAATGGTTAAGGGTTCGCCTGCTAACCCAGAGGTTGCTGGTTTGAGCCCACTCAATGGCTTTATGAGAAAAAGACCAGGCAGTCAGCTCCCATAAAGATTACAGCCAAGAAAACCGTATGGGTGGTTCTCTGTCTCATGTGGTCACTACAGATTGGAGGACTGTGCCTGATGATGGTTTAACTGTTTATCAGGGCCCAGTCAGTGTGCAGGTATTGAATGCCCTCAGTACTAGTCACTTCTGGGGATTCTGCCATCAACATGTTCATCCTGCCTCCTCCTTTTTTAAAAAAAATTTTTTATTGTGAATTGAGTGGTAGTTTACATAGAAGAACAT